AAATCTCTTTAGAAAAATTTATAAAATTATAAAGAAAAGAAAGGAAAAACTATGAAAATTGGCCTAGTAAAAGCAAACTTCCCAGGAGAGAGACGAGTCCCACTTCTACCAAAAGATATTAAAGATTTTAAAAATGAAATATTGGTAGAGGAGGGGTTTGGTAAATTTCTTGATATTGATGATCAAGATACATTGACAAGGATGTCACATTTTATCAAGAGCTGAAGTTTTTGCGGAATCAGAGGCGATCTTCTCACTAAAACTCATCCAGCCCACTGACTATTCCCATCTTAGAGAGGGGCAGATGATTATAGGGCTGGACACATCCTTTTGGTTCAGGACAATCGTTCATGAAAGAGCAAGCTCTACCTAAAAAGTTAATTGTGTAGATTTAGATAGTAACTCGCCTTGCATTTATTATGAAAATGAGATATTTGAATCAGGTATTCCGAAGGGTCTATTATATAAAAATAGTTTTTACGCAGGCTATGCAGGGGTTATAGACGCTTTGTTGCAATATGGATTTATTCCAACTGAAGAGACAAAAATAGCTATTTTAGGTTCTGGAAATGTTGCGCAGGGTGCCTTTAGTAGTATCTCAAAATATTCCTCAAACATCCGAATGTATTATCGAAAAACAATGTCAATTTTCAAAGAAAATTATACAAAGTACGACATCATCATCAATGGAATTGAAATTGGGAAAGATGATGATCCAATTTTAAGTTTTATCAGAACAAAAATCATTGAAAAAAGGGACTTTAATTATTGATGCAGCAGCTGATGCGGAAATACAATTGAAGGAACGCATTTTACTAGTATGGATGCCCCTATCTACGAAAATGATGGAAAATACTATTATGTTGTTCCTAATACCCCATCACTCATCTATCGAAATGTGAGTCAAGAATTAAGTAAGATTTTGAGTGAGAATATCTTTACTGAAAACTGTACACGTTTTACTGAAAGAACAACTTCTTGATAAAATAATATATGGACTAATGTCAAATATTTATTTCAAATATGGAAATATTAATGGATGCCTTTGTAATAGTACATTATAGAAACTAAAATATAATTTGGTGGGCAAATAGTGGGCAGAATTTAAAATACAAGAAATAACAAAAAAATATTGATAAATTTAGATAATTGATAAATAAAGAGCCGCAAAACTATATGTTTGCGACTTTTTTTATTTAAACATGTTTTAAAATATTATTATTATCAATCTACTGATTTTAATGCTTCTAACATATCAACTTTTGAATTTTACGATTCATAATCATCATTATGACTAGAGAAAATATTATAGTTAGGAATATTGAAGTGAAATATTTATCCAAGATAAACCTGGCGCAACCATTGATGAAGCTGGAGGTATACACTCATAACGTAACCGTGGAATATGTAACCTATCCCAAGTCCAAATAATATGCCAAATCCTGTTAATATATTAGCTTCTCTATAAATGTACATTAAAACTTCTTTAGGATAAAAACCTAACACCTAAGAGTAGATAATTCTCTAATTCGTTCACTTACATTGATATTTATTAAGTATAAAGTACTACCATGGATAATAGAGAAGCAGCAACTACGACTACTAAAATCAAATTATTTAGATTGTTTAGGATATTTTTAATAGTTGACTTAACTTCTTCAGATTGAATAGTACTAATGCTTGAGTCTAACGAGTTAAAATCAATTGAAAACTTATTTACTGATTTATTAGATGAATCTTTTAAACTTATTAGATAGAATTATTTGATTCTATTTCTCCATAAACTGATTTATATAGCTTTGATTCATATAAATATAATGGCCTGCATACATTTTTGTAATTGCCGAAACTTTTATATATGTGACTTTCCAAAGCTATCTAATATGGTTAAGTTATCGCCCGGCTTAACATTCTCCACTTTAGATAATTTTTCTGAATAACTGCACCTGTTGAGTTTAAGTTTAATTGTTGGTCAGTTTGATAATCTCTAAGCGATGTATACTTATCAAATGATGAAGTATCAGAAGGAACAATTAATGATATATTTTGTCTTACTGAATCTCCATTTTGTTTAGAATAAACTGAATCAAAATAAACATCAGTATACTTTGCGATATTTTTATTATTCTTAACCTTATTTTTGACCTCTGTAACATTTTTCTTAGTATCTCTTGTATTGTAAACTGCAATGACATCATACTTAGTAATGCTTCCAAACTGTTTTTCTACTATAGAATTGAGAGACTCACGAATTCCAAATCCGGTGATCATTAATGCAGTTGCACCAGCTACTCCTATAATTGTCATAAACATTCTACTTTTGTATCTTAATAAATTTCTAGCAGTTACTTATGTGAAAAACTCATTCTTTTCCAAATTGGAGTTATTCGTTCTAAAAGTATCCTTGAACCATCTTTTGGTGGTTTAGGAATCATTAATAAAGCAGGAAGTTCTTTTAACATCTTTTCTGGCTGCTAGCCAAGATGCGAGTACTGTAGAGAACAGGGAAATTAGTAACCCTAGTAAAATATACCAAGGATGTAAATCTAATGTTAACTTTTCAAATGTAAAGTTTGCTGAATAAGCTTTAAAAATTATTTGTGGTAAGGCAATTAAACCTAAAATACTCCCTATCACTGTACCAATAAGCGCTGCAGATGTACTATATAGAATAAATTCAAGCATGACATGGGATTTTGAGTAACCCAAAGCACGTAGTGTACCCATCTCTACACGTTTTTCTTCTACCATTCTTCTCATTGTAGTGAAACTTACAAGTATAGCAATGAGAAAGAATAAGATAGGGAATGTTTTGCCAAGTGCATCAATTCGTTCAGTATCTTCTCCATAATTATTATATCCATCGTTATAGTCATTACGATTCGCAATTAGTAGAGATATGTTGCTTAGATTATTTTTACTTTCTTGTGCTTGATTTACTTTATCCTCTAATTTTTGGATTTTTAATTTATTTTGTTCGACAAACTCATTTTCTTCACTTAATTTTCTTTCCTTACTTAGTATTTCTTGATTTTGATCATTTAGGATGAGCTGTTTTTGTTTCAAGATTTCTAAAGTATTAGCTTGTTGTAGGCTTTCAGCCTTCTCAATATTTTGTTTCAGTTCATTTTGACTATTTTGAAGTTCTATCTTAGCAGCATTGATCTGGTTTCGACCATTATTTACTTGTTCTTGTGCAATGTTAAGATTGTTCTTTCCAGTATTAATTTGATCGTTTGCAGTTTTTATTTGATCGTCTATTTCTTTACGCGATTCTTCAATACGTAAGCTATTTTGTTTATTTAGATTCTTTTGTAAACGAGCTACAATATCAGAGGATTTTTTTTCATATTCTTCTGAATATGCTCTACCTTTCAAATTTCTTAAATCTATTCTAGCAAAATTTGGTCGGTTATCTTTGAACGCATCCTTAACGACATAAGAATAGCCATCTAAAACTCCATTTCCTGCACCCGTTTGACCAATTTTATCTTTTTTTAGGTACTCTGAAGATGTTGCAAATCCTACAACTTTTAATTCAGAGTTCTTTATTTCTAAGCTTTGGGAAGATTTAGGAGATTGTACCTTTATCTTTTCGTTTAATTTAAAGTCATTTTTTAAGTTATCACTCAAAATAATTTCAGACTTATTATGAGGTTGTCTACCCTCAGTTATTTTTATTTTTGATAAAGTATCTGGTAAACTTTCAACTCTTATTGGCTTAGAAGTATTTTCTAATAAAGTGTCTGTTGTAAAGCTAAACTCAATCTTTTTGATTTCTTTTAGATTTGTTAAGTAAGACTGAGTATTCTCGGATATAGGTATTGTAGAAGATATTCTAGCATCAGCTAAATTTGATAATTCGTATTCTTTTTGAGCTGTTTTTCTCATGTTAGGTCCAGTCACATTCAAACCAATTAATACAAATACACCTAGCGTTAAAAGTGCCGATACCGATAAAAATCTCCCTAATGAAACTTTAAATTCACGGATAATAATTTTATTTATAGTTTTCAAAACTGTTCTCCTTACCATTCTAAATTTTCAACGGGTACTGGATTACTATTGAAAGTGTCACTTTTAATTTCTCCATCCGCCATCTCTATCACATGATCCGCCATAGGTTTCAATAAACTATTATGAGTAACGATTATTACATTCTTTTGTATTTCCGAGTGAAATCTTGAAAAAGTTGTAGAATTTTTTTTCCTGTTTTATAATCTAAAGCTCCTGTTGGTTCGTCTGCTAGTAGTATATCGGGATTTTAGCTAAAGCTCTTGCGATAGCTACTCTTTGTTGTTCTCCTCCTGATAATTGAGCTGGAAAATTATTAGCTCTACTCTCTAGCCCTACAGACTTTAAAGCTTCTAAAGCATCCATAGGATTATCTACTATTTCAGATGCTAATTCAACATTCTCTACGGTGGTTAAATTTTGAATTAAGTTATAAAATTGAAAAACGAATCCTACTTGTTTTCTTCTATATGTTGTTAATCCTTTGCTATCAAGATTTCCTAATTCAACGCCATTAACATTTATAGATCCCGTGGTAATACTATCCATACCACCCAATACATTTAGTAAAGTTGATTTGCCTGCTCCAGACGCACCTAATATAATTGTTAGCTCGCCTGGATTTATTTCAAAATTTATATCTTTATTTGCAGTTACAGAATTTGTTCCGCTTCCATATGTTTTAACCTCATTTTTTACAGTTATAAATTTATTCATTGTATTTCCTCCAGATTTAAATTATAATGAACAGTGTGTTCACTATAATTTAAACATAATTATCACATATTTCAATGAACAAAAAAATTGAGAATGTTGATAATAAAGGAAGGATTAATAAGTTTTATGACTATTCATGAAGAACAAAAAAAAAGAACTAATGAATAATCATTAATTCACTAATAAATTTAGCTGAAATAAAACCTCTATCAAAAATTTCTATAAGTGATATTACTAAACTTGGAAAAATAAATCGTGGAACATTTTATTTACATTATGAAAGTAAAGAAGATCTCATAGAGAGTCTTGAATCAAAGACTTTGAAAGAAGTTAATATTATTATTGATAAAAATATAAAAGAAACAATGGATATCAATTTCTTTTATAATAATGAACCCTATCCAATAATTAGATTGTTGGCAGATTATGTTTCTGAGCATAAAAAAATATTTAATTTTCTCCTAAATTCAAATACTACTATATTTTTTAGAAATTCTATCAAATTAATCTTAGAAGATGTAGTTACAAAGTCATTGATAAATGCAAAAAAAAGTAGTCAAATTTCAAGTGTCATACCTTATTCCTATGTTTTAGAAATAATTTCATCAATTATTATGTCAATTTTTATGAAATGGATTGAAGGATATGATGAGTTGACTCCTGAAGAAGTTTCAAAACTCATTATGGACTCTTTATTTTTATCACCCTATGATATGCTTGGATTAAAGAAGTAGGGTATAAAAATTTAGATATTTTGATGTTAGTGGTATATTAAAGAATAAAATTGTCTAATTCTCAGAAATAGGGATAATATACTACTCAATTGTAAAATAAAAAGTTACTTGATTATTTGGGCAAGTGACTTTTTTTACAACATTTTTAAATTTAAGGAATGTAAACATATATTGGCAAGTGGTTTAAGTAAAGTATCGAAAATAAAAAACCTCTAAAAGAGGTCTAGAATAGGTTTTTGTTAATGATACGTGTAATTATTTAACTCTAGCTTCTTGCTCTGAATAGCTCCTGCGATGAGCTATGTTGTCAATATCCAATATCGCATTTGTGTAAATACTTTGATGTTTCGAGAAGTGGTTATTATGCTTGGAAAAAATTAGGTAAACCTTACTACAAAAATTACGATAAGGATTTGGCTTCTAAAATCTTGCTACTATTCAATGAACGAAAGAAAGGTTATCGTTACATCACATTTCAATTAAAAAGAAAGTATGAAATTACACGAAACCCTAAAACAGTCTTGCGATATATGCGTATTCTTAATATAAAATCTCCTATTCGTAAAAAGAAATTCTTCCACTATTCTAGAAAAGAAGTGTCTCTAAATTCTATCATTGTTTCATCTAACATTCTTAATAGAAACATTCAAGCAAAGGTACCCATGGAGAAATTAGTGACAGACGTTTCCTATATATATTACAAAAATGGACGACTTTTTTTATCCGTTGTCAAAGATCTTTTTGACAATTCAATATTAGCTTATCAAATTTCAAAAAAGAATGATATTAAGCTTGTCATGGATAATTTATCTCAAGTTTTTTGTAAGAAAAATTATGATTGTATACTCCATTCGGACCAAGGCTTCCAATATACGACACGAATTTATAAGGATACGCTTGAAATTCTAGGTGTAAAAATTTCTCATTCACGTAAAGGAAACTGCTATGATAATGCCTGTTGTGAAAACCTTTTTTCTCATCTTAAATCAGAACATTTATATCTAAAAAAGCAGAGAACGAAAATGAACTGATTGACCAGGTTGACGATTATATTGTTTGGTACAATGAAGATAGGCCACAAGAAAAGCTAAATGGAATGTCTCCAAAAGAATATAGAAATGATTACTATCAGTAAAAAAATTATAAAAGCTAAATTTTAAATATCAATACGCTATATGATAAACTCTCCATAAAATTTATAATTTTGTTCCCCTATAATCTTCTCACTTGACCTAAAGTTAACTTTAGGTATTATAATAAAGTTGTAAATATAAATTCTTTAGATATATTAGAGGAGAAAAGATGAGTAATGAAATAAAACTAACTTCAAATTGGGATAAAGTATTTCCAAAAAGCAATAAAGTAAGTCATAGTAAAGTGACTTTCAAAAATCGTTTTGGGATTTTTATTGCTGCAGATTTATATGAACCAAAAATAATCAAAGAAAAGCTCCCAGCACTTGCAGTAAGTGGACCATTTGGAGCAGTTAAAGAACAGTCTTCTGGTTTATACGCTCGAGAGATGGCCGAAAGAGGATTTCTTACTCTAGCCTTCGATCCCTCGTTCACTGGTGAAAGTGGTGGAGAAGTTAGGGATGTTGCCTCACCAGATATCAATACTGAGGATTTTCAAGCAGCAGTGGACTTTTTATGGAATCATGAAAAAGTTGACTCAAATAAGATTGGAATCATAGGTATTTGTGGTTGGGGAGGACTAGCGCTAAATGCTGCTGCTATCGATACAAGGATTAAGGCTACTGTGGTATCCACTATGTATGATATGACAAGAATTGCCGCAAAAGGTTACTTTGATTCAGTAGATGAAGACCAGCGTTATGAATTAAAAGAGAATTTAAACGCTCAAAGAAATCTTGATTTTCAATCAAATACTTATGAACGAGCTGGTGGTGTTGTTGACCCAGTACCCGAGGATGCTCTTGATTTTGTAAAAGATTACCATGATTACTATAAAACAGAAAGAGGATATCATGAGCGTTCAGTTAATTCTAATAAAGGTTGGGCTATAACCTCTTCTCTATCATATATGAATGGTAAACTTTTAGCTTATAGTAGTGAAATAAGGAGTGCTGTCTTAGTCATACATGGTGAAAATGCTCATTCACGCTACTTTGGTGAAGATGCTTTTAAAACTCTAAAAGGAGATAATAAAAAACTTATGATTATCCCTGGAGCTTCTCATACGGATTTGTATGATCAAAAAGATATTATTCCATTTGATGAATTGGAAAGTTTCTTTAATACATATTTAGAAGTATAATTATGGTGTAAGCAAATGTTTATTGGAATAAATAAATTCTAATAAACTTGAGAAGAGATAATATTTGATAAACAAACATGGAAGGAAAATAGAGATGATAAAAGATAAAGTTGTTATTATTACAGGCGCTTCTTCTGGTATAGGAGAAGCAACAGCTAAACTACTCGTTGAACAAGGGGCAAAAGTTGTTTTGGGAGCTAGACGCGAAGAACGATTGAAAGAACTTGCTGATAAGTTGGGTCAGAATGTGTCTTATAAAAAGACAGATGTTTCGAAATTTGATGAGGTAAAATCCCTTATTGATTATGCATTAGAAATTCATGGACATATAGATGTGCTGTATAATAATGCTGGGATTATGCCACAAGGATTTCTTCGTGAAGGAAATTTAAAAAGTTATCAAGAAATGATTGATATCAATGTCATGGGGGTTCTTAACGGAATAACTGCTGTTTTACCAATAATGCGTAGTCAAAAAGATGGATTAATCATTTCAACGGATTCAGTAGCTGGTCACGTCGTTTATCCAGCATCAGCTGTATACAATGGAACTAAATTTATGGTGAGAGCGATCATGGAAGGTTTAAGACAAGAGGAAAGAGAATCTGGAATTCGTTCAACTATTGTCAGTCCAGGTGCCGTGTCAACCGAGCTTATTAGTACTGTGGGCAACAGCGAGATTGAGAAAGGTTTGACTGATTTATTTAATGGTTCTACTGACAGTGGAATGACCCTCTTGCCTATTGATGTTGCTAATGCTGTACTTTATGCTATTAATCAACCAAAGCATGTAACCGTATCTGAAGTACTAATTCGTCCAGCTAACCAAAGTGTATAGAGAGAAGTGAGGATAAGATATGGATTATATAGCTTTCTTAGAACACGTCCAGGCTGGAAAAACGCTTGAATCGGGGAGCGAGGTATTCACTTATATGTCTAAAATTTCTACCAAAGCTCAACGTATTTGTGCAGAAATTAATGGTAAATATCATGAACAAAATGAACTTATTTCTTTGCTTTCGGAACTTACAGGGCAAGAAATAGATCAATCAGTAAGTATCTTTCCTCCTTTTTCATCTGATTTCGGAAGGAACTTACATATAGACAAAAACGTATTCATAAATGCTGGTGTAAGAATTCAGGATACTGGTGGAGTATGGATAGATGAAGGAGCGCTTATTGGACATAATGTTGTTCTTGCGACGTTAAATCATGACCTAGAGCCAAGTAGACGCCAGAATTTGATACCCGCTCCCATTCATATCGGGAAAAATGTTTGGATTGGTTCTAACGCAACGGTCCTTCAAGGAGTAACCGTAGGAGAAAACTCCGTTGTTGCTGCAGGAGCAGTAGTAACAAAAGATGTCCCCGCTAATTCTATTGTTGGTGGTGTCCCTGCTAAGCTAATAAAGAAAATTAAATAAAAAACTCGAGAGAAAAGTTTTCTTTCGAGTTTTTTATTTTATGAGTGAGAATTAAAATAGCTCTCCTTGATATCCTGTGGTAAATCATTAGGAATTTTAGTGATTACAGAGTTTTCATCGCCTGCCTTTAAGGCCTCATTATAATACCAACATTTATAGTTAATCATATCAAGTGTTTTTTTGAGATTTTCAATTTCACTTTGAATTTGAATTTTCTGCTTGTCAAAAAGTTCTTTTCTGACCTGTAGTGTTTCATTTCCTACTTGTGTCCACTCGATAAAATGTTTAATGTCCTTAATTTTCAATCCTGATTTTTTCAAACAATCAAAAACTCTGATTGCTTCAATTTCTTCTTCAGAGAATTGACGAATCCCAGATTTCCTTTCAATCTTTGGAAATAATCCCTCTTTATCATAATATCTCAATGTAGATATGGAATATTAAACATTTTTGACACTTCACCAATAGTGTACATGTGAATAGCTCCTCTTTAAACTAATTGCAGAATAGAATATACTCTCTTCTATTTGCCTTAGATATAAGTATATAAATATTTAGAAGCGAAGTCAAAATTTATTTTCTATTCTATTCTATTCTATTCTATTCTTTTCTTTTCTATTCTTTACCAGATACTATATCCTTTTTTAGTGTCCATTTTAACTGGTGCTTGACAATTTGGCTTGTAGGAGCTTTTGTTTTATTTGACTGGAGTAATGTTTTTTCCAATTAGTCCAGTAGTTATTTTATACAACCTTGACGCTTTTTCTTTATCAAAAGTTGGTTTATTCAAGCTAATATTTTTCTTTTGATTAAATGCTGATAGTTTTTCTGTAGGGACATTTTCTAATAAATTGATAATTATAAGTGCTGCTTTGGTTGGTGTTTTTACTTACTAATTTTGATAGCAACTTTAACAATGGATTTTTATAAAAATTATTCATTCCTTCCGTGCTAACTGCAGAAGGATTATATAAAATATATTTTATTTTTTTTACTCTATCATTTTGAGTAAAAGCAACTGCCAATAACTCATTTAATCGACTACCGTGCATCATTACTTTCATAGGTTTAAAATCATTTTTATGTTGTAGGTCATCCCAATCAACCTCACCATTATAACCTGTTCCACAAAGATTAAGTATCAAAGGATTTTGAGACTCTTCCAATATAGATTTAAAACCATAACTTAAAATAAATCTGCTTAGGTAGTCTAAAGCGAAACTGGACTCAAAGCCTTCTGAAGTTTCACTATATGACAAATTATGACGTGTCGCACAAAATATAAGTTGGTCTAAAGATTGAGTGATTTGTGATACCTCATTCAGTATTCGGTTATTTTCACTAAGAAGGCTTAAATTAGCTTAAATATATACTAAATTGTTTTTTAAATTTAGTTGATGGGCTTCATTTGATATTGAATACGCTGAAAATTTAGGCGTAAAATCAGAAAGCTTGATATTCGCTCAACCAGATACAGGTGAAGAGGCCTTCTATATGATTAACGAGTTCGTCAAAACAGGGGCTTTTGACTTAATTGTTGTTGATTCGGTTGCTGCTCTGACTCCTGCTTCAGAGATAGATGGAGTGAGTATTCCAGGTCAGCAAGCTAAAATGATGTCAGAACAGCTCTCTAAGCTCGTTTCAAAAGTCAACCAAACTAAGACGGTCATCATCTTCATCAATCAAGTGCGTTCAACCATGAGTGGACTATTCTTAAATAAAGAAACCACTCCAGGAGGGTCAGCACTAAAATTTTATTCTTCTGTACGTATAGAAGTTAAATCTGGAGAAAAAATCAAAGATGGAATTGATACTATTGGTAAGAAAACCACGCTTCATACTGTTAAGAATAAGGTATCAGCTCCATATAAAAAACCGTCTGTTATTAATGTCTTTGGGGATGGATTCTCTCAAGAAATAGATATAGTCACATTAGCGATTCAAATGGGAGTTGTTAAGAAAATGAATGAATGGTACTCGTTTAATGGCCAAAAGCTTGGTCGTGGAATCTTTAGCGTTAAGGAATACCTAGCAAGTCATCAATCTGTCTTTGAAACACTTAAACATCTAACTAGAGAATCACTACAATTCTACTAAACATATTGATTTCATATATTTCATTATGTAAAATATTAATTTCTGCAATTAAACAGGCGGGTTTTGTCATTTATTACAAATTCGATATTAGGGTCAGTCTTAAAAATTTATTCTTCTGTAACTATGTTAATTTTTTGAGCGAATGAATTTTATTCTTATTAATTTATAAAATGAGGGAAAACTATAATATATCTGGTATAATTGAATTAATTCATACATTACATTATAATGGGGGTTAATCTAATTGGATAACAACAGTGTAAATGCTGAAAAGCTTGGACTCGAACCTTATAATCCCTCGACAATTTCTGCAAATTTTTTGGCAAATTTTATGAGGGAAAGAGAATATCTTGAAAATACAATTAAAAATATGGCATTTATTCCAAGATATTATGCTGAACATACTGGTTACTTAAATATTAAAAGTGATAATACAATAATAGAACGTGTTATAATTCCTATGACTTGTTTTTGTGATATAAAATTACATCAAATTTCACATCATATTGAAGGAAATTCTAGTTATGAGGGTTACGGAAGGTTTGCAATAATATTAAAGAAATCTTGGGGAATTGAAAAAGGTATTCAACCAGTCCAATATGTAACTCCTAATTCTTTACTTCAGAAACAATTTACTAAGTCTTTTAATTTATATTCTCAGGCACTAGATACTGAAGAAACTACAAAATTATGGGATGATATAGCCGATATTTTATTAGAACAGCTCAGATTTATGAAACCATTATATGGAGAAATGCCCAGAAATGGTCAAATTATAAAAAATAAAAATTTTACAGATGAAAAAGAATGGCGCTTTGTTCCGAAAATTAAGAATAATATAGCACCTGAAATACTCTTTGATCCAATAGCTGGCTTAGAAACTTCTGAAAAAGGGATTGGTACACATAATGAAGCAATTGCTCTTATTAAAAAAGCTCGACTTCTTTTTGAAGTTTCAGATATCAAATATTTGTTAGTTGAATCGGAAGAAGATGCACAAGAATTATCAACCTTTATTGAAAAGCTTAGAGGAAATCGTTTAAATAGACAAGATAAAATCACATTAATTAGAAAAATTATAGTTTATGATGATATGAAAGGAGACCTTTGATGGCAAGATTAAAAAAAAATATGAGCAAAAGTAAAGATAAGCAAACTACGCTAAGTGTAAAAAAACTAATCAAGCAAAAAACCCCGCTAGGTTACGATTATGTCCAAGAGGATGATGGTATTTTTGCCCTTACTCCTAAAGATTCGTCTCTACCCTTAAAATTTACTAAACAGGTTCAACTACCTAAAGAAATCGAAGGCTATAAGGTTACACCTGAAAATTTTCATGATATTCTATTCATTACTCAGAAACCTTTTATGTTTAATGATGATAAAATTACCGTTGGAAATAAAACCTCCAAATTAAGCGAACTGCTATATATGTCACCTTTTGCAGAAACTAAAGATGGAAAAATAGCTATTATTCCTCCTAAAACAATGAAATCATCTAATCCAATAACAATACTTATAGGTGGAGAAAAAGTTGATTTCTATATTGAAAGAGTGCCTTATCCATCACTTGAGGTTCACAAATATAAATCATATCGCCCAGAATATATTAGTTTAGATATTTTTTCTAATCTTAAAGATAAAACGATAAAATTTAATTATAAATTTGAATATAGAAGTTTTAAATATATTGATGAAATTTTACCCAAAAAAAATATACTTCAAGGTCTATATTTAAATGATATCAAAATAAATAACTTGGAAATAGTTAATCCTCAACCAGATAAGGCTGTTACTAATAATGAAATTGAAAATATAGAATATCAAATTAACCTTTTTGAAAAATTAGTTGAACTTCAAAAAAAACTTAATGTCAGGTTTAAAAATGTTACATTATCTGCGGAAGACATGTTAAATGCAAAAAAATTATATTGTTCCCTAGTGAAAGAGGACTACTATTCATATGGAATAAATTTGAAAAAATCATTTAAATTGAAGTATGATACAGTAACACCCGAAATACTAAATCTAATTAGTTCAAAAGATCCTAAAATATATGCTTGGCAGGAAGGAAAACAAATAAATTTAATGGGCTGTCAAATTGAATTTATTGAAGTAAAATATTCAACAAATGTAGTATTTGAGAATCTAAATGAGTTAGATAAAACTCTTGAATATAGGTTCATTAATGGAGGAAAAGAACTCTATAAAATTTTTCTCAAACCTGAGGAATTAGATAAACATTTGATTGATGAGGTGATCCAAAATCCTAGAATAATAAATATAAAAATTTCAACTGGGATTTTACTGAAAATATCATTTAATAAGTAAGAAAATGACACTTCATAAGGATGTTAAATAAAAATATATATTTTCATATATAAAAAACACCATATGAGGTGTTTTTTTTAG